TAGTGTATCCTACTTGGCCAGTGACAGTTCATTGTGCACCCAAGCTGGGCGGTGATGGTCTATAGTGTACCAAACTTGGCCAGTGACAGTTCATTGTGTACCCATGCCGGGCGATGACAGTCTATAGTGTACCCAACTTGGCCAGTGACAGTTCATTGAGTGCTAAAGCCGGGCGGTGACGGTCTATAGTGTACCCCACTTGGCCAGTGACAGTTTAATGTGTACCCAAGCCGGGCAGTGACGGTCTATAGTGTATCCTACTTGGCCAGTGACAGTTCATTGTGTACCCAAGCCGGGTAGTGACAGTCTATAGTGTACCCTACTTGGCCAGTGATAGTTCATTGTGTACCAAAGCCAGGCGGTGATGGTGAATAGTGTACCCCACTTGGCCAGTGACAGTTCATTGTGTGCCCAAGCCGAGCGGTGACGGTCTATAGTGTACTCCACTTGGCCAGTGACAGTTCATTGTCTACCCAAGCCGGGCGGTAACGGCCTATAGTGTACCCAACTTGGCCAGTGACAGTTCATTATGTACCCAAGCAGGGTGGAGACAGTCTATAGTGTACCCCACTTGGCCAGTGACAGTTCATTGTGTACCCAAGTCGGGCGGTGATGGTGAATAGTTTACCCCACTTGGCCAGTTACAGTTCATTGTGAACCCAAGCCGGGCGGTGACGGTCTATAGTGTACCCCACTTGGCCAGTGACAGTTCATTGTGTATCCAAGGCGGGCGGTGATGGTCTATAGTGTATCCACTTGGCCAGTGACCGTTCATTGTGTACCCAAGTCGGGCGGTGATGGTGAATAGAGTACCCCACTTGACCAGTGACAGTTCATTGTGTACCCAAGCAGGGCAGTGACGGTCTATAGTGTACCCCACTTGGCTAGTGACAGTTCATTGTCTACCCAAGTCATCCGGTAACAGCCTGTAGTGTACCCCACTTGGCCAGTGACAGTTCATTGTGTACCCAAGTCTGGCGGTGATGGTGAATAGTGTACCCCAATTGGCCAGTGACAGTTTATTGTGTGCCCAAGCCGAGCGGTGACGGTCTATAGTGTACTCCAC